TTTAGTATTTCTTGTAATTTTGATTTGGTTTTTGCAGATTCCCTAAACTTCTGTTTATCTGGAGATGCCCTAATTTCACCATCATATTTGAGAGACAGTTTTGCTGGTTATATAATTCTTGGATGGCAATTTTTTTCCTTCAAGGCTTTATATATGTTATCTCATTGCCTTCTTGCCTGCATGGTTTCTGCCGAGTAGTCCGAGGTTATTCTTACTGACTCTCCTTGTGGATCACTTTTCGTTTATCCCTAGGTGCTCGTAAAAGTCTCTTTATCTTTGGTTTTGGCAAGTATGATTATAATATGTCTTGGTGACTTTCTTTTGGGATCTACCTTATTTGGAGTACGATGAGCATCTTGGATAGATATCTTCTTATCTTTCATGATAGCAGGGAAGTTTTCTGTACACAAATCCTGAACAATTTTGTCTGTATTTTCTATTATCTCCCCCTGTTCTGGTACTTCAGTCACTCGTAGGTTATTTCTCTGGATAGAGTCCCACATAACTCTTAAGAGTTTCCTCATTTTTTAAAATCTTTTTATCTGATTTTTCCTCAGATAAGTTGGTGTCAAGTGCTTTGTCACAGTCTCACTAATTCTGACTTCTACTGCCTCAATTCTGCTCTTTTGACTTTCTATTGAGTTGTGTAATTCTGAAATTTTGTTGTTAATCTTCTGTATTTCTGATTGCTGTCTCTCTATGGATTCTTGCAGCCTATTAAATTTGTCATTATGCTCTTGAATAACCTTTTTAAGTTCTGCTACTGCTTTGTGTGTTCTTTGGCTTTCTCTGCATTTTGAAGATTTCCTTCCTAATTTCTTGAAGAGTTCTGTATATTAATCTTTTGTATTGTGCTTCTGGTAATTCCAAGAAATTCTCTTCCTCCAGAAAATTTCTTGATTCTTTATTTTGGGAGCTTTCTAAAGCCATCATGGTCTGCCTCTATGTGATTTGATATTGACTGTTGTCTCCAAGCCATCAATAAGTTATTATAATTTTTTTATTTTATACTTACTTACTTTGTCCTAGCTTCTTGCTTTATTTTGTTTTGATATGCCCAAATAGGTTGCTTACATGGTATTTTGATTATTGGCACCTTTGGAACTCTGTCGTTCTGTCACCAGGTAGTTAGATCTGTTGCTAAGTATGTGAGCCAAGGAGTCCATTAAGTTTTCTTGTATGGATTCAGCTTAGGTGTCCAGGTAGTCAGTCACCAAATGTGTGGTGCAAGCTCTCATCTGCAGTCCTAAACAGGCATGGGTGTTTGGTGTAGGCACAGGTATCTGGCTGTAGTAGGGGTCACACCCTGAGGAAGGCAGGGGGCTGATGGCTGCCCCTGAGTGTCTGAAAGGAAAGCATATCCCTGTTTCGTAGAGCGAGTAGATAGGTGAGTTTTGCAGCTGGACTGTGAGCACCCTACACTGTTGGCTCTAAGAACTGGAGTGCACCACTTATTCTTGGACCCCTGTCGCAGGTGGCTACGTGGCGTGGGTGGAGCCACCAGTCCTCATGCCCCTGATGTGGGCAGGTGAGGAGCCTGCTTAATGGGCAGAACAGTGTCAGTCGTCATAATCCTGCCACCTCACAGCTGAAACAGTTGAAGTTAGACTTCAGGTATATACTCTGTTGTACTGTGGTAGTGAGGTCTTAACGCTGTTGAAATGGGCCCACACAAGTCTATGCAGTAGTGAAAGGCATTCAGTGTCTGTGGACCCCTTACGCCTGTGCCTAGGCAAAGGAGCTGTGCCAACCCTGAGGTCCTGGCTTAGGGGAGCTGGCAGCTTATTTTTTCTCTGTTAATTTGTTCTCTCTTCAAGGCTGGGAGAATGGCTCAGGGCGCCTTAAGGTTCCTACTTCCAGCCCAGGGGACTCATCAATCACTGAAGCTGGATGGGAACCAGTGCCCAGTGGGGAGGGGGGAGGTAAATGGGAGAGAGGTGTTTCCCAAATGAGTTTTTTTTTTTTTTTTAATCCCCACGGTAGGCCACAAGCAAGTACTTATCTTTAGCGGCTTGAGTGCTGCTTTTCACTGGTTCTGGATGGCCGAGTAGATTTTTTGCCGCTGGGTCTTTCCTGATGTGGAAGATGCCTCCCTAGCGCCACCGCTGCTTGCCCACCTCACTGTGCACCCTGAGCTGGTCCAGGCTGAAGGGCTGTGGCTCCCGCTGGCTCAGGTCTGGCAACTCCTCGCTGCTTCCGAACCATCTCTCCCTCACCCCACCACTCAGTCTGATTCCTCCACTTTGCCTTTGATGTTCAGGGCTCGTAGATAGTCATATACAATTGATTCAGTTGTTTATTTGGGTCTTTGTTGTAAGAGGGACATAGGAAGCATTTGACTACTCTGCCATATTGGCCCTGCCTCCTGCTTCACTCTCTTGCATGTGGAAATCTAGTCTTCCCAGTACCATTTATTAAAGAGACTATATAGATGTGTGGGTTTATTTCTGGACTCTCAGTTCTATTCTACTGAGTATGCAATTGCTTTTTAAATTAGTTGAGAGAAGAAGGAAGGAAGGAGAAAAAATGCTTTTATAGTGTGTTTTATCATCACATAATTACCTGTGCTCTTTGGTTTTTTTCCTGTGGATTCAGATTTCTGTCTGGAATCACAGGCTTCTAGCCTGAACAACTACCTTTTGCATTTTTTGTAAGGTGGGTCTGCTACTAAAAAATTCTTTCAGTTTTTGTTTTTCTAGGAAAATATTTTACCTTCAATTTTGAAAGATAGCTTTGTCGGCTGTTGGATTCTTGGTTGACACTTTCTTTTTTTTTTTTTTTTTTGAGTACTTTGAATATGTTATCCCATGCCCCCTTCTGCCATTGTTTCTTCTGAGAAGTCAACTGTTAATCATCGGGTTTCCATTGTAAGTGACAAGTCATTTTCATTTGTTGCTTTCAAGATTTTCTCATTGTCTTTGACTTTTAGCATTTTTACTATGATGTGTCTGTTTGTGAATCTCTTTGTGTTTATCCTACTTGGAGTTTGTTGAATTCCTGGATGTGTAGGTTATTGTTTTTCGATAAATTTGGGAAGTTTTCTGCTATTCCTTTGAATAATTTTTCTGCTCCATTTTCTCTCTTCTTGCCTTCTAGTATTTTATGTGTATGTTAGTACACTTATTAATGTTCCTTTGTTGAACATACTTATAGTGGCTACTTTGAAGTCTTTGTCAAATTCAATATCTGACCTCTCTCACACGCAGGTTCTGTTGTCTGCTTCTTTTCTGGTGTATGAGTCCTACCTTTCCATTTCCTTGCAAGCTTATAAATTTTTTTTTAGAAACTGGATGTTTTAAATAATATATTGTATCACCTCTGGGGACTTCTCCCTCCCCCTTCCTCCACGGCTTGTTATTATTTGCTTATTTATTTACTTAGTAACTGGCTGGAATTATTTAGTGGTGGAGTCTATTTCCTCCCAACAGTTTTAAGCATCTGATGTTGCTCCTCAAGGAGATGCAGCTTTGGATATTCCCACAGTCACCCTGGGATGATAATGGTACATCTATAGGGCTCTCTTCCTCTTCTTTCCTGACCACATTTGTTAAACTCCACTAAATGCTGGCTGGTTGTTTTGTTTCAACAATTTCCTGGGGCATAAATTGTTCTACAAATGAATCCAATAGTATTGTGGCTCCTTTCAAGGAATAGTTTCTGAGGGCAGTGTTCTGACCCCAGGAGGATTTCTCCCAGCTGTCTTATTCCCTGATTCTCTCCTGTAAACTGGGTGGCCTACAATCTAGGCTGTCTCTTCATTAAATCCAGGAATCTCTTTCCAGTTGTCTTTCACCACAACCTCCACTGTTCTTGAGAGCGCCCTTAGGCTTGAACTTCTTCATGCTCTGTTGCAAATGAGGGCAGTTCCTTTGAGAAGAGATTTGCATCTATCTGTTTTATGGCCTACTTCTCCCCTGAAGCAAAATCCCTGAGCCAGGGCTCTGGAGCTGTGGATAGGGTCAATGACAAACTTCACTCTGAGTGACACTCCTACTATAGGAGCTGAGCACTAGGTGGAGAGGGATTGGGAAGCAGCCTAGCAGCCTGAGGCCCTCATTGTCTGCCTCCCTTGGTATAAAACTACCACCTCATGAGCCATGGCAAGGGTAGTTGGGGCCCCCATGTTGTCAACACTCCATGCCCAAGATCAAACCTCTGTCCATGAATAGATGTTGGGCAGAAGAAGGAGCTCCCACCTCTCAGCAGCACTTGCTTAAGACTTAACCTCAGAAATAGGTAACTGGGGATAGAATAAGGAGTGCTTAAGTTCTGCGTCTCTTGGGAAGAAAACCCTCCAACTGGGAAGCTGGTGGGAGAGGGATCCTGGTGTTTTCGATTGGGTCCGTCTGGAGTGAGTCTCACTCTTGCTAAGCTGGGAAGGGGCAAGGAAGGAGCAATCTTGGTTCAAATACCACTGACTTTTATCTTTCTTATTCAGTTTTTATAGATTTCCGTAAATAAATGTTTCTTCATTTGCTGTTTATCTTTAGGGCCATTTCTAAAGGCTTTACATTTAAATGGTGGCCTTTTTATTTTTTCACTAGGGGCCAGGTCAGTGGAGCTCTTCAAGCTGCCGTTTTGGAACTAAACAGCTTTTTAAATATAACAGTCTTATTGAGATATAATTCACATATCATAAAATTCACCTTCTTAAAGTGTACAATTTAGTGGGTTTAATTTATTCACAGAGTTGTGCCACCATCACCACAATCAATTTTAGAACATTTTCATCACCCCAGGTAGAAGCCCTGCACCCATTAGCAGTCATTCCTCATTTTCTCCCTATGCCTTCATCCCCCAGTCTAAACTACTCCTAATCTACTTTCTGCCTCTATGGATTTGCCTGTTCTGGATATTTTATATAAATGGAATCATACCTATGACTGCTTCTTTCACATAGTGTAATGTTTTCAAGGTTTGTGTTTTATCGTTGTAAGATTTTTTTTTTCCTTTGAAGATAGATTTTTCATAAGAAGTATACTGCATGTATCTTTTTATAGACCGTGTAAAGAAGGTAAAAGTCAGTCAGAAGAAGAAAAAGACTGCATAAGTCTGGATGCCTCACCAAGTTATAAAGGCCTTCTAATGGTATGGGAACTGCATGACTAAAAAATACTCTCTTATAAAGTAGTAACTCCTAGGAAAGTTAACTGTTTTTTCTATGAAATCCATTGCAGTCATTACAAAATCAACTCCAGGAATCAAAAGCCAGGATTGATGTACTTTTAAGTGAAAAGCTGAACCTCCAAAAAGATTTGGAAACCAGGTGCAAGTAACTTAAGTAATTTTTCTTTATCCTTTTAAAAGTAATCACATACTGGAATTTGGAATGTTAAGTGGATCATTGTAGCCCCTTTACTGTTAAATTAATCTTGAGAATCTCATGCTCAAATACTCAATTTAGTCAGTTGTCTTCTGTGATATATGGTGGAAGAAACAAGAACACATAAGTAGGCAAGGGAAGTGAGGAAATAGGTGTCCACGTTGAGGAAGATGGAACTAGGTGGGAACTCAGAGTAAGTTCAGTCTTTTACCAACAGTTTTCTCATTCCCAAACTATTTTAGAATGTCTTCTTGTTTAATCTAATCCCTGTGGTATAGGAGGAGAGGTAAAGTAATAAGTTGCCACACAACAGAAAAGTTTATTTATATACAGCTGTCTTCGTTTCCTAGGGCTGCCATGACAAAATACCACAAAGCAGGTGGCTTTAAAGAACAGAAATATATTGTCTCACAGTTCTGGAGGTGAGGAGTCCAAATTCAGGGCATTGGCCAGTCTGTCAACTCTAGGGGAAGATCCTACCTTTTCAAGTCTATGATAGCCCCAAGCTTTTCTTAACATTCCTTGGTTTGTAGATGTATGTTCACATGGCATCTTCCCTCTGTGTGACTCTATGTCACTGTCTGTTCTCCCTTTTATAAGACCCCACTCCGAAGGGATTAGGACCCATCCTGCTGTTGTATGACTTCATTAACTTAACTGACAACATCTTTAAAAAAAGAACCTATTTCCAAACAAGGTCACATTCACAGATACAGGAGTTAGGACTTCAGCATATCTTTTTGGAGAACACAATTCAATCTATAGCCACAGAAGGATGACCTTCTACATGTTGTGAGTAATAAGGAATGGACGTTGTCAAGGCTTTATTTATCATTCAACAAATATTTGTTGAATACCTGTTATAATTTAGGTACTGTCCTAAGCTCTTCGATGAAACAGTGATCAAAACAAACTCCTTGTTCTCATGAAGCTTATACTTTAGTGGGGACAGGACTGGTACTGACATTATAATCCATCTATATATACTCTGCCACACAATAATATGTAAATTCCTGGTTATATAAATATGTAGTAAAAGTTTTAAAACATGCATGGGCATAATGAACACTGACATCAGGATAGTGCCTGCCTGGTATGGGAGGGAGAAGAATGACATTAATGAGGGACACATGAGTTTTAAGTACATTTGTAATGTTTTAAGTTTAAAAAAATATTTGAAGGAAATGTGTTAATGTTAAAATTTGATAAAGCTAGAGGGTAGATAGACTAGTATTTGTTTTAGTATTCTCTATTCTATCTGTATGTTTGAAATATTTTACTATAAAAACAAGTAATAGATTAACAACAACAAAACTGAATAAAGTTTTGAACAAGGAATATACAGAAGAAATCCAGATGGCCAGTAAATACCTTCACTGGTGGTTATGAAATATTTGAAGAATTTTAATAATATTTCTGACAAGTAACAAGGTATGCTATATTATTTATTATTAAATGTCTTTATAGTTTTATTCAGTAAATTGAATGCATTCATCGTGATTTATTTTCTACAGGCCCACACAGCATGAATTAAGACTTTATAAACAACAAGTGAAGAACCTGGAGAAAGCCCTTAAGAAAAACATCAAGTAATTATATTTTACCAAAGTTACGCCATTGTTAGGGTGTTTTATTGTATTGTCTGTCATCTTACCTCATGCTGCCTTGTAGTAGCTTTGGTTTAGAATTATTAGGCTGATGGAGGAAATGACACTAAAAAGGGGATATTTCTGTCTCCACAGTTTTAAAGAAGTGTCCACTGTATTGGATGAAGCTGTATGTTCATCTTAAATGAGAACAAGAGAAAGATAGTTGCCTGATGTAATAAAGGGCAAAGAATTTAGCTAGAAAATTATCTTTGGAAGTCATGGAGGAGTTCAAGTGTCATTGAAGTTAGGAGTGATAAACCCCAAATTTTTGTTGATGATGGTCATGACGTGAATAATATAGAGCCTCATCACATTTTAAAACTAGAAGTACCAGGATGAATGGAATGAGGCATTTCTATCCACCGCTTATACCTTTCCTGACTTAAAAAAGCAAGTGCTCAGAGGCATTTCAAAAAGTTAATCCTCAAATAGTGATGATGTTATCTGAAGGTTATTTATATGTACTCTGATTTAAGGGAATGGGAGTTGAAGAAGTAGTTTGAGGAACATTGAGATGAAATATTTTGAAAACTTTATGAGTTAGTTAATATAGTTAAATGTATTAGATCAGTTGTATTTGTAAATGTTGATTCAGCTTTCAGTGACTATGTTTCCTCCCTCCTTTGACAAAACATACCACAGTGAAATGAAAGTACTATGGGCATCCAGAAATTACATATTAAGTTAAATTGAGAACCAAATGTTAGCAGGGAAGGAAGAAAGTTTAAAAAAAAAAGAAAAGGAGGGTTTGGAACTGATACATACATTCATTGTTTATTTCGCTCCTTCTATATGCTTGGTGTTCTGAGCACCGGAGTTACAGTGGTAAACTGAATAGAAAGATCCCCTGCCCTCATGGAGATTACATGAGGGGAGAAGGAAAATGAAAAAATAAATATAGTAGCCCTCTCTTATCCTCGATTTCGCTTTCCATGATTTCGGTTACCTGTGGTCATCTGCGGTTCCAGAAGGTTAAATGAGTACGTAGCATGATGAAGTCTCATGCCATCTCACTCTGTCATTCACATAACTTTTATCACAGTGTATTGTTATAATTGTTCTATTTTATTATTGTTGTTAACCTCTTCCTATGCCTAATTTATAAATTAAACTTTGTCATAGATATGTATGTATAGGACAAATCACAGTATATGTAGTGTTCAGTACTATCTGCAGTTTCAAGCATCCACAGGAGGTCTTGGAACGTATCCTCTGCAGATAAGGGGGCCTACTGTAAGACAGTTTCAATATACTGTAAGTACTAAGAGGTAATGGTGGTTCAGTGGCAGAATTCTTGCCTTCCATGTGAGAGACCAAGTTTGATTCTTAGCCAGTGTGCTTCACGTGTGGCCACCACATGTACTGTCATCAGTGGCTCACACGTTGCCTTGATGCAGAAAAGATTTCAGCAGAGCTTCCAGACTAAGATAGACTAGTATGAAAGACCTGGAAATCTACCTTCAAAAATCAGCCAGTTACAACAGAACATTGTCTGGTCCACAGTTGATCATGAGGACTGGGCAGTGTTGCGTTCCAGGGGCCAACTAGACGGCAGCTAACAACACAAGTACTAAACATAAAATAGTGGGAGCATTATCACTGTTGCTGTTTAAAATTAGGATTCAGAATCAATTCCTGCTATATTTCTTGGCTGAATTTTGAAGAAATAATTTGTTTTAGATATTTAAATTTGGAACTTTAAAAATCTAATTCTTCCTAATTTTTTTATTTTTAGTTAGGAAATTTTCAGTATCTATACATGGAAACAATTTTGAAAGTGTTAGGTAACTTGTCCACATCACAGAAGTAGCACATGGAAGGACTTGGATAAAAATCAGATCTTTAGCCAGTCATTCTGACTCCAAAGCTCATACTCTTAACCACTACCCTAATAATTAGAGCCCAAAACAAACACCTAATATAAAAAAAAAATTTTCAAGGTAAACTTTGAAAAAAATTTTTTTTTGTAGTACTATTAATGTTGAGGAAATAATTAAGAATAAAATCTCCCATCAACCCAGCAAATCCTCTCCACAAATGTAGAAAAGAGTAAAAGGGTTGTATTATTGACTAAACATTAAACCAGACTATGATGCATATTATGAGCAATCTTCTAAAGAAGTTGCAAAGACAGCAATCTTACCGTTTCATGCAGGCAGGCAGATACAGTCTGTTACATACATGCTAATTGTCTTTCTCCAAAGAAAAAATAAAACTTCTGGTATATCTCTAACAAACAGAAAGTTACAATTTGAAGTCAGGCATATAAACAAAACTCCTACTGAGACAGGGAGGGAGACACAGCACCATTCTCCTTGATGGAGCCATTTGAAAGAGATGGCTCCAGGGTCTCCAGGAAGATATTCCTGGGTTGTAAAACTGACAAGAGACTTATTGGGGTTTTGAAAAGATTTACATATGTCTCAAAGAGACAGAAAGGATTTATGATTACAAGTTTTCTAAAGGAAAAGCTGAAAGAAAAGGAAGGAGAGATGTTTATTTCCCTTTTGGCACCAAGGAAAATTCTTTATTATTTTATTTTATTTTTTTGTATTTACTCTTTTTTTTTTATTGTTTTAGTTTAAGTGAAAATTTACAATTCAAGTCAGTCTCTCATACAAAAATTTATACATACACTGTTATGTGACCTCAGTTGCTCTCCCTATACTGTGACAGCACACTCTTCATTTCCACCCCTGATTTCCCGTGTCCATTCAACCAGCTCCTAACCCTCTCTGCCTTCTCATCTCACCTCTGGACAGAAGCTGCCCATTTAGTCTCATATATCTACTTGAGCTAAGAAGCACACTCTTCACGAGTATCATTTTATGTCCCACAGTCTAGTCCAATCTTTGTCTGAAGAGTTGGCCTAGGGAATTGTTTTAGTTCTGGGTTGACATAGAGTCCAGGGGCCATGCTTTCTGGAGTTCCTCCAGTCTCAGTCAGACCATTAAGTCTGGTCTTTTTGCTAGAATTTGAGTTCTGCACTCCACCTTTCTCCTGCTCTATCAGGGACTCTCTGTTGTTGTCCCTGTCAGGGCGGTCATTGGTAGTAGCCTGGCACCATTTAGTTCTTCTGGTCTCAGGCTTGGAGTCTCTGGTTTATGTGGCCCTTTCTGTCTCTTGGGCTAATACTTTCCTCATGTTCTTGGTATTCTTCATTCTGGGACCAAGTGATGCATCTTAGATGGCTGCTTGCTAGCTTTTAAGACCCTAGACGCCACTCACCAAAGTAGGATGCAGAACATTTTCTTAATAAACTTTGTTATGCCAGTTGACCTAGATGTCCCCTGAAACCATGGTCCCCAGACCTC